CTCGATCCCGGGACTCCAGGATCATGACCTGAGCCGAAGGCAGTCGCTTGACCAACTGAGCCACCCAGGCGCCCATATTCAATAAAGTTTTAAAAAAATTATACACACACGCACACAGAAACAAACCCACCAGCTAGGTTCTAAGCCCTCTACACGCAGTAGCTTACTTCGTTTTAACAACAAACCTCTGAGGTAAGCATCATTAGCCTCGTTTGAAAGATGGGAAACTGAGGCCCAGAGAGGTTAAGTACGGTCACACCCAAGGTCACACAGCTGGTGAGTGGCGGAGCCAACAGTCTGCCTCGAGTCTGCTCTGCACTATCACCTGATGAATCCTCTTTGGAGTTGTTATAGAGAAGCAGAGGTGGGGAGAGGAGGAAAGGGGCAGATGATGAGGCTCCTGTGCCCGGCCCTTGACTTCCTGCCTGTCCCCACAGGTGGCAGAGCTGAAAGGCCCTGTCCTCCGGCTACGGGAGCCGCTGGGCGTGCTGGCCATTGTGTGCCCTAACGAATGGCCCCTGCTTGCCTTCGTGTCCCTGCTGGCCGCCGCACTGGCCCACGGCAACGCGGTGGTCATGGTGCCCAGCGGGGCCTGTCCCATCCCTGCCCTGGAGGTCTGCCAGGTACAGTTGTCCGCCTTCCTGCTACTGCTTCCCGAAGCCCCTGGGCCAGAAGATGGATGGAAGGTGCCCCGGGGTCTGCACTTGACCCACCCCCTTGGTAACCATGGTAACCCCAGTCCCCACCCCCACCCCCAGTCCAAGCCTGCACTGCTCATGGACCCCGGGACCATTCTGTCCAGGCCTTGAGCGTTGGCCAGTCATGACCCGGGTCCCATTCCTTCCAGGAGCCCCAAGGGTCCTCCCCAGATGCTCACTCCTCACCCAGCCTGTTGCTTGCGGGGTCTCTGACGCCCTTTCTGCCCAATCCTCTCTGCCGTCCCCTAGGATATGGCCGCCTTGTTGCCAGCAGGCCTGGTGAATGTGGTGACCGGTGACCGGGACCACCTGACCCGCTGCCTGGCCTTGCACCAGGACGTCCAGGCCCTGTGGTACTTCGGATCTGCCCAGGTACCCTTTGCTTTGCTGTCTCTTCAGCATCTCAAACCTCACCGACAGCCTCGTCCTTTTCTAGAACCAGGGCAGTGCCCCCTAGAGCTTCCGTTGCTAGGGAGGAGAGACTCTTTGGCAACCAGGTTCTGAGATCCTGCCCCTTTAGATCCCCGGTTGCTAAGGAAGGGGATCTCCTTAGCATAGCAGCGAGGGCCTCCTATCCCGCCCGGCCCAAGACCTCATCTCACTGGACAACCCGTTGCTAAGGACCACACCCTGGTAGCCGAACCAGAGGCCCGCAGTCCACCCTCCTGATGGTAACAGGGGAACTCCTTGTCACCAAGAACATCAGGCCCCATTCCTTTGAACGTGGGCTGTTAATGGGGAGGAAATCCCCTAGCCACAAAGGTCAGCCTTGTTTCCCTTAGTATCTAGAAGGTCGGCCGACTACAGATTGAGCATTGTAGCAACAGAGCCTAGGTCAAGCCGGCAGGCCCCTCAGTAATAGTCCTTGTTGCCAGGGAAACAGCTGCTTGGCGACCAAGCTGATGGAAGTGCTGATCCCCCTCTTCTCATGCCAGGGCTCCCAGTTTGTGGAGTGGGCCTCAGCAGGAAACCTGAAGCCGGTGTGGGTGAACCGGGGCTGCCCTCGGGCCTGGGATCAGGAGGCCAAGGGGGCAGGCGCAGAGCTGGGACTGCGGGCAGCACGGACCAAGGCCCTGTGGCTGCCCATGGGGGACTGATGCCCAAGTGCCACCCGCTGCATCTTGGCCAGAGGAGAGATGGACCCTGACAGACACCAGAAGCCTAGAACTTTGTTTTATTATGACTCCCATGCCCTCCAATAAACTCTGACCAACCTTGGCTGTGCTTCTGAGGGGAGGAAGTCGGGGAGTAGCAACTTCTGGTCTGCTTGAGCTCATCCGAGTTCTGAGACTCAGCAGCCAGGTGGGCTGGCTCCAGTACAACACAGTGTTTGTGAAACAGATAAAGGGAACTCCGAGAAACCCCGGGCAGGGCCCCAGGGCCTCTTGTTTCCCCCCTGGTCTTCTCCCTCCTGAGGCTCTCGCTCTTTGACTTTCTCTGCCAATGCGTTGTTTCAGGATCTGTGGTGTGCTGGTATAAAATAAAGCACAGTGGCTCTCTGCAGTAAAATAAAGGCCCTGGTAGGTAACATTTGCCAACTCCATGGTGTAAATGCTCCCACCATGTCAGGTTTCCAGCTCTAGATGAGTGAACAACAAACAGGCTGATAGGATTCCTGAATTTTTTTTTTTTTAAAGATTTTATTCATTTATTTGACAGAGAGAGAGAGAGAACAAGTAGGCAGAGAGGTAGGCAGAGGGAGAGGGAGAAGCAGACTCCCCTGCTGGGCAGGGAGCCCAACGCGGGGCTCGATCCCAGGACCCCGGGATCATGACCTGAGCCGAAGGCAGCGGCTTAACCGACTGAGCCACCCAGGCGCTCCGAATTCCTGAATTTTTAACAGTCCATTCCCAGGAGCCAATCTGAGCGGCTCCAGCACACCCCCGTTTTAGAATCCTTTTGGATGCCAGGAACCCATTCACACTAGCTTAGGATAAGAGGGAAATTTCTGGAAGGCTACAGAGACCTCTTACAGAAAACAGGGCAAGACATGCATCTGAGGGGCCCCAGGTCCTGAGAACCCAAAAGTAGGCAAGAACCAGGACGGGTCCTTTCTCTGTGGGCATGTGACTTCTTGGGTCTTTCTTTCCTTCTTCCTTTCCTTTTTCTTTCTTTCTCTTTGATCTCTGGGGCTTTTCTTTAATTTTCTTTTCTTTTGTAATATATATACCCAACATGGGGCTTGAACTCATGACCCCGAGATCGAGGGTCGGATGCTCCATCGACTGAGCCAGCCAGGCGCCCCATCTCTGGAGTTTTCTATCCCTACCTGCACCTCTTTCAGCGATGTGACTTTAGGAAAGTTTCTTCACTGCTCTGAGCCTGTTTCCTCATCTGTAAAATGGGACAGATAGTTCCAACCAGACTGGTTGATTCGATGGGTACACGGGACACGCTTTATGACTGTTCGCTGTTCATTAGAGATTGATTCTGTCGTGAGGCAAATGAGAATAGGCAGCCAGCCTCCTGTCAGGATCTGACTAAGGCTGGGCGGAATAATTACCTCTCCCAGGATCTGGACTTTTGGAGAGGAAAGACAAGAATGAGAGAGCTGGAGGAAAGTCCCTGGAAGGCTCTAGTTCCTGTCTGTGGTTTGACAGTTCCTTGCAGGATTCCATGGGCTGCCTCAGTGTCCTTCTGTTGCTTTAACCAGCCAAAGGCAACAGCCAGCCAGGTGCACACACACCCCCCAGCCCGGAACAGAGGCAAGTGTCCGGCTGCTTCCAGGGAGAGGAAATCTGATTGGCCAGCTTGGGTCAGGCCTCTGCCTCTGAGCCAATCATCTCTGCCGGGGGGGGGCGGAGCTCCTGGCCTGTGCAGCGGTCCAGTCTGGGAGCAGATACCCACTGAGCGCTCGCTTTGAGTGAGGTGCTGTTCTAGGTGCTGGGGAGGCAGCTGGGAGCAAGACCACCTGGCCTCAGGAGCCGATGTTCTGGAGGGCGACAGGTGTATTAGGCTCCTGTCGCTGCTATAACAAAGTTGGTGGCTTAAGTAAAACAACACAAATGCATTATCTTTCAGTCCTGGACGTCAGACAACGAAATGGGTCTCACTGAGCGAAAATCAAGGTGTCAGCAGGGCTGCATTCCTATCTGGAGCCCAAGGGGAGAATTGCTTTCCATGGCACTTGACCTGCACCACTCTTTTTTTTTTTTTTTTAAGAATTTATTTGACAGAGAGCACCAGCAAGGGAGGGGGGGCAAAAGGGACAGAGGGAGAAGCAGGCTCCCTGTTGAGCAGGGAGCCCGGATGCAGGCTCGATCCCAGTACCCCAGGACCATGACCTGAGCTGAAGGTAGACACTTAACGACTGAGCCACCCAGGCACCCCCCTGCATCACTCTTCATTGCCAGCGGTGGCCACTCAGGTCTTTCATAGCATCACTCTGACTGTGATCCTCTCGCCTCCCTCTTTCACTTACAGACACCTCTGTGATGACATTGGACCCACTCAACCCACAATAATCTCCCCATCTCAAGATAATTAACTAAGTCGTATCTGCAGAGGCCCTTTGGCCATGTGAGGGAACATTGACAGGTTCCAGTGGACGTCTTGAGGGGCCATTATTCTGCCCACCGCAAGAGGGGACAGATCGAAAACAAGTGAATAATTGAGAAACATCTGTTCAGTGGGACAAGGGAGCTAAACCAGGCTGAACAGGAAGTGAAGCAAACAGGGCAGGGAGCAGAGATGGGTGGTATAACAGGATGGGTGAGGTTTTGCTGCAGTAACAACCCCCAAACTTCTGTGGTTGATAACCACAAAGTTCATTTCTTGCTCACACTACTTGTCCATCGGGGGTGGCAGGGGCCCTCTGTTCATCAGAGCCATGCAGGGACCTGGGCGGATGGAGCCCTGATTCAACATGGCTTTTGCCATTAGAGATCCACTCCCTGCCCCATTAATCCTCACCCAGAAGTGACACTTGTCACTGTCACTCTCATTGGTCAAAGTGAGTCGTGACCATGCCTGAGTCACACAAGGTGGGGTCCTGGACTCCTGCAGGGAAGGACTGCCAGTGGATGGGGTGGTCAAGAAAGAGATTCAGAGAAGCACAAATGTGGAAGGGACCTTATATTTTCTCATTTACCACCTCAGCCCCCAGTTTGGAGTTGAAGAAATTGAGGCTTAGTGAGGATAAGGGGCTGGCCAAGCTCCCACAGTGACCCAGCCAGGGTCAGAAGCAATACTTGCCAGGCCTGATGCAACAAGATCTATCCCCTGGGTCCTCTTGCGTGCCTGGCCCTGGCAGGGCACAGCTGGAAGCCCAAAGAAAGGTCAGACCCAGCATTGCAACAAGCCCCCAGCCTGTGCCAGGGAGACCCATAATCTGTGCAACTATGGAGGGGACACAGGACATTGGGGGACCCAGAGGAGGCCTCGTGCCAGGCTGGATTTGGAGCTGAGGATTGAGGATCTTATCAAGGGTTTTGGTGGGGGGGAAAGGGAGGAGATAAAGAGAAAGTGGGCTGGGGGGGTGCACAGAAGGGCTGGAAATTTGTCCTAAGGGCAATAGGGAGCCACAGAAGGTGTGTGAGCAGAGAGGTAGGCTCAGCTCTGGCTAGAAGACAGATATAAGCTAAGGTGGCATGTACTATAATAACAGAGGAAACTCGGGGCACCCAGAGATGGCACCCTACCCAACTTGAGTGTGTATGTGTGAGGGAGGGAAAGAGGGGTGGTGGCTACCTTCCCAAGGAAGGTGCCATGGGTATTGAGGATTTTTTCCAGCTTTATTAAGGTATGATTGACAAGTAAAGATTATACATATTTTAGATGTACAACATGATTTTTAAGTGTACAAAACGTGATGACTTAATATACCTATACATTGTAAAATAGTTACCATAATCAAGTTAATGAACACATCCATCCCTTCACAGTTACCTTTTTGTGCGTGATGAGAACACTTAAGATCCACTCTCTTGAGCGCCTGGGTGGCTCAGTCGTTAAGCGTCTGCCTTCGGCTCAGGTCATGATCCCAGGGTCCTGGGATCAAGTCCCACATCGGGCTCCCTGCTTGGTGGGAAGCCTGCTTCTCCCTCTCCCACTCCCCCTGCTTGTGTTCCTGCTCTCGCTGTCTCTCTCTGTGTCAGATAAATAAAATCTTTAAAAAAAAAAAAAAAGATCCACTCTCTTAGCTCAATCAAACTGGAAACAAAATTCAGATATATCCAAAAGCAAAACAAAGACAAACTTCTAGGAAATTTCATATATACAATACAGTATTGATTTTTTTTTGTTTTGTTTAGAGATTTTTTTTTTTTTTTTTTTGAGAGAGATGGAGGGAGCAGGGGCAGAGGAGACGGAGAGAGAGAATCCCAAGCAGGCTCCACACCCAGTGCAGAGCCCGACGCAGGGCTCGATCCCAAGACCCTGAGATCATGACCTGAGCCAAAATCAAGAGTTGGATGCTTAACCAACTGAGCCACACAGGCGCCCCAATACAGTATTGTTATTTATAGTCACCATGCTATACATTGGATCCTCAGAACTTACTTTGTGCTTTTTGACCAACATCTCCCCATTTCCCCTACACACACACACACACACACACGTCCCGGCTCCTGGCAACCACCGTTCTACTCTCTGGTTCTGTGAATTGACTTTTTTAGATTCCACTTATAATGATACCCTACGATATTCATCTTTCTCTGTCTGGCTTATTTCACTTAGCATCACATCCTCCAGATGTATCCATATCGTTGCAAACAGCAGGATTTCCTTCTTGTTATGGCTGAATGGTATTCTATTGTGTGTGTATACCACATTTTCTTTTTCCATTCACCCATCCATCAGCAGACACTTAAGTCTGATCTTGCTACTGTGAATAAGGCTGCAGTGAGCAAAGAGGTACCTCTTTGAGAGACTGATTTCATTTCCTTGGGACAAATATCTAGAAGTGGGATTCCTGCATCATATGGTAGTTCTATTATTTTATATTATGTTTTTTGATGAAACTTCATACCATTTTCCATAGCGGCTGCACCAGGTTACATTCCCACCAGCAGACGCTTAACCGACTGAGCCACCCAGGCACCCCAACACTTCAGTCTCTTTGATGATGGCCATCTTAACTGGTGTGAGGTGATATCTCATTGTGGTTGTGATTTGCATCTCCCTGATGATGAGTGAGTGCACTGAATCTTGAAGGACCATGAGGATCTGATGTGGCTGGAGAGCATCCCAGGCAGAGGGTACAGCATGTGCAAAGGCCCAGAGGTAGGAAACAGCCTGGCGGGAACTTAGTGGTTTGAATGGTCACCCAGCCCCCAAAAGATACGTCCCCGTCCTCACCCCTGAAACCTATGAATGTGGTGACCTTATTTGGAAAAACAGTCCTTGCAGATATAATAAAGTTAAGGATCTCGAGCTAAGATCATCCTGGATTATCCTAGTGGGCCCGACATCTAATGACAAGTGTCGTAAGAGACACCCAGAGGAGAGACGCTTCTAGAGAAGAAGGCCAGGTGAAGACAGAGTCAGGGATGGAGTTACGCAGATACAAGTCAAGGACCCTTGGAGCCCCCCAGAAGTTACGCTTAGCCCACACATCCAAGGTGGAGGTGAGGAGGCTGTGTCGGAAGGAGCAGTCTCCCAGGCAGGGGCAGAACAGCCGCAGGGGTAGGGAGGTCTGTGTGCGTGGCTCGGGGTGGGGGCGCCCTCTGTTGGTTCCACACGCACCCCTCACCTGCCCTTCCCCCCCCCCCCCCCCGGCCCCCTTCTGTCTCTCCCTTTCCAGGTCCCATTCCACTCCGTCCAGTGCTCGGCCCTCCTCCTTCTGGCGCCTCTGTCCATCTCGGACTGGCCTTCCCCATTCAAGGCGAGGATGAAGGCCCCAGGCTGGCCTCCTCCTTGCCCTGTGGGCATTGCTTCCGGCTGGAGGCAGCTCCCCCTTCGTCGTGTGTCCCGGCTTCGACCCAGCTCGGGGCTCTGGGGGCACGAGTCCAGTGGAGTCGCCCTCAGCGGCGTGAGCCATCACCTGCCACCACCAGGTGGCGCCCCTTGCCTCAGCCAGATCCACCCCAGCTCACTGTCGCCCCCCAAAATTTCCTTTCGCTTTCGATCTCTGGCTGTCACCCGGCCTGGCCCCTTCCACGCCCAGCCGGGGCAAGCCTGGTGCGTGAGGAGAAATGGACTCCGGGTCCCCGAGGGGCGGGGCTGGGGTCTCCCTCCTGGCTGAGGGAGGAGGGATGGGGTTCAGGTTGCTGGGTCCCTGGCCTGGGGAGGGTTCCGGGGACCGGACGTCGGGGTTCTTAGAAGGGGAGATGAGTTTTCACCGTAACCGGGGCTCACGCAGGAAGCTCGAGGGAGTAGGAGGCGGAAACTTAGCCACATCAAGGAGCCAAGGGAGGGGTGGGGAGGTGAAGGGGCGGGTGAGGAAGGGGCTGGGGTTTGAGGGTCTGAGACTCCCTCTTCTGTCCCTTCCAAGATCTGGCCATAGGCATGAGGGGCCTCCGGCCGAGATGATAGTGCTGGCGCCAGCCTGGAGCCCAACTGTGCGTATACCTGGGGGACAAGCTGGGGGAAAGGCAGAGCAGTACCAAGATGGGCAGAGGTGGGGGACAGGGACAGGGGTAAGGGAGAGATGGACAGGGGTGGGGGACCTGCACAAGATAGGGAAACATGCACAGAACATACACAGGAGTGAGGACATGGGCAGGAGTGGGGGACAAGGGCAGGGGTAGGGGACATGGACAGGAGTGGGGACATTGGCAAGAATGAGGGACATGGGCAGGGGTGGAAGACATGGACAGAGGTGGGGGACATGGACAGAGGTAGGGGATATGAGCAGGGAGGGGTGGGGACACGGGCAGGGGTGGGGGACATGGACAGAGGAGGGGGACACGGGCAGGGGTGGGGGACATGGACAGAGGAGGAGGACACGGACAGGGGTTGAGGATGTGGGCAGGGGACGGGGACATGGGCAGGGGTGGGGGACAGGGATGAGGGTAAGGGAGAGATGGACAGGGGTGGAGGACCTGCACAAGATAGGGGAACATGCACAGAACATATACAGGAGTGAGGACGTGGGCAGGAGTGGGGGACGAGGGCAGGGGTAGGGGACATGGGCAGGAGTGAGGACATTGGCAAGAGTGAGGGACATGGGCAGGGGTGGAAGACATGGACAGAGGTGGGGGACATGGACAGAGGTAGGGGATATGAGCAGGGAGGGGTGGGGACATGGGCAGGGGTGGGGGA